CTGCCTGGGCTTCCCCAACTGCGGAGGGCTATTGATGGAGCCCACATCCCCATCTGGGTCCCTGACAGCCGTGCAGTGCAGTACATAAATAGGAAGAGATACTCTCATCAACCACTGCAGCCAGTTTACAGACATTGTCGTAGGCCGCTTCAGGAAAGCGCACAACATCCACATCTTCCACCAGAAGCTGAAGGCTGGAACTTTCTTCCCTGAGTGCATCAGGCTTGGGGATGTTGAAGTGGCACTGTGCATTGTGAGGTATACAGCCTGTCTCCTCATGTCATGGCTGATGAAGCCATATGCTAGATACCTGGGCCCAAGCAAGGACCAGTTTAATGGCTGCCTCTCCAGGGCCCGCATGTGGGCCAAGTGCGCCTTCTGGCACTTGAAGGCGCAGTTCAGGTGCCTCCTAGATGTGAGGAAGTACAACATCCCCTTGGTGATATCTGTATGTTGTATGCTCCACAGCATCATGGAGAGGAAGGGGGAGGCCTTCCTTCTGGGCTGGGGGGCAGAGGCTGGCCGGGAGGGATGGAGGGAGGAACGGGCCTTGGATGGCAGCTGTGTGTGGCTGCTCAGCCAGGCCTGTCAGGTGGCGTCGTGCATCCAGGAGGCCGGGAGGGAAAGTTTCTCTCAAGGACCCCAGTAACTCTTCCCCAGGGCTTCCCTCTTAGGGGCCTATGCCTTGCCCCTCTCTGCCTTTTCTCCAACAACCCCTTCCTTCCCCCCCCTCCACCCCTCTTTTCTGTAGACAAAAAAAATATTTTCAAAACAAAACTTTATTATTTATTTAGGATAGAAGTAAATGGGAAGGAGGGGGGCTGAGAACCTTGGAGGGGGGAGGAGAGGCTCAAAGCTGGGACTGGGAGTTGCACGTGGCTTGGGTTCTTCCACCATTTGTGTGGGGATCTCGGGGGTAGAGGAGTCATGGGAGGATAGGGGGATAGGCAGGCGGGGGCCTGGAGTGGGATCAGGAGCAGGGATTAGGACTGGTTCTGGATAGTTGTACACATGTTGCGGACCTGCTGCAGCAGCAGCAGCTCAGTCCAAATCTGGGCCCTCCATTGCATGTCATCCTGGATCTTCTGTGCCGGCATCTGCTACATGTCCCAGAGGATGGAGATGTGCTCCCTCATGAGGTCCTCCTTGACCCTCCTGACACCTACAGCTCCTCTGGGGTCGGGCGGCTGGCTCGGGTGGTGTTGATCGCTCCAGTCACGGCTGGGGAGAATAAAGAGGTGGTCAGTCATCCCTGGAGACACTCTCCCTGAGGCCTTGCCCTCATCAGTGAGCTGAGAGCAACAGTTCTCCGGTCAGAGGAAGGTGATGTTCTGGGAATGAGGCCATGATTGGCTTGGACAGCGGGCCCTGCCTTACAGGGGCCCAGAGGTACCCAGGGGACCATGCTCCCAGGCCCCACCCTATCCCACCACCAAGCAGGGAAGGGAAATGGCCGGCCACACTGGCTGGAGAGGGGCCTTGAGCTGCCTGGGCTTCATCGGGGCTGCACACACACCTGTGCCTGGCAGCAGTGTCCCTGTGAGCAGGTGCTGCCTCGAGCATGCAGGCAGGCCCGTGTGCCATGTGCAGCACTCCAGATTCTGTATTGTCCCCAGCTTCCTTCCAGTATTGGTTCATGATGGGAGAGCATCCCCCCCGGGTTGTGTGGCTAGCCTCCGCAGTGCCCTGGTGCTGCCTCCTGGGGCTTCATCACACAAACTGGTACTGCACGTGCATCCATGAGCACAGACTGCAGCGCGATGGCTAGGCTGAGAAAGCCAAGCAACGCTCACGCCATAGCCCCTCAGTGCCCCACAGCCCCACCGCGTGTGTGAAAAACTAAGAGCACTCACCTGATGATACCTCCCCAGCCTTGAATGTTGCCTGGGACACATCTAGGCTGTGGGGTACTGGCTCCAGCGTGATGGTTGTCATGGTCTTCCTCCTTCTAGGCTAAGACCCCAGGCGAGTGATGATGGGCGTCTTCAGCCCTGAGTCCACCACCCTGGGTGGGGAAGGAGCTGCACTACCCCCCAGGATGCGGTACAGGTCATCAAAATAGGGGCAGGAGTGTGGTCCTGCCCCAGAGCAAGAACTGCGTGCCCTCACTCTGGCATAGACCTGCTAGAGCTCTTTCACCATGCTCCGAGCCTGCTTCAGCGTCCTGATGTGGCCCTTTGTGGCCAGGGTTTTGGTCATCCAGCCATATATGTCCACATTCCTGTGTCTGGAGCAGAAATCCTGGAGGTTCTTGTCAGCCCATACCTTGAGGAAGGCCAGCATCTCTTCCCCAGATCGGGATGGCACACACCTTTTGTGGCCTCTGACAGGCTCCTGGGAGCCCTGTGTGTGCTGCAACATGGTGCCCAGACATCAGGCACTGGCAGCTGCGCTGAGGCTGAAAACTCTGAAAGCCTGCTTCCTGCCACAAGCCTTTGTCCCCTGTGTTTGCAGCTTTAAGAGTTGCTGGGGAACAGGAACTATAAAAACTCTGAAAGCCTGCTTCCTGCCACAAGCCTTTGTCCCCTGTGTTTGCAGCTTTAAGAGTTGCTGGGGAACAGGAACTATAGCATTGTGATGAGTGTGGATGGAGAGGCCAGCAGGGCACCTGTGGGATTTCCTGGAGGCCTCTTTAAAAAAAAAAAAAAAAAAAACCTCCCTATTCCGCATCCACTCACACCCTTTTCTGAAAGTTTTTTTGGAAAAGGGCTTATTCCTCATGGAATGAGGTTTACCACCATTAGAAAAAGTCATCCATTATGTCGACTTTCCGTTGAAATAACACAATTGCAGTGAGGATGCTAGTGTTGTTTTTCCAGAATAACGGCCATTATTAGGCTATGTCTACACTGCAGGCTTCTTGCGCAAGAACTGTTTTGCACAAGAGATCTTGTGCAAAAGTTCTTGCACAAGAGGGTGTCCACACTGCCATATGCTTTTGCACAAGAGCTTCCATGGCAGTGTGGACACTTGGGCAAGAAAGCTCTGATGGCTATTTTAGCCATAGGGGCTTCTTGCACAAGAAACCCTTGTTGCCTGTCCACACTGCCTTCTTGTGCAAGAGCTCGTGGGGAGAGGAATAACTCTTGCACTAGAAGTCCTCTATTCCGATGCGTTACTGGAAATTTACTTGCGCAAGAACGCACGTGCAATGTAGACACTTAGCAAGTTTTTGTGCAAGAACAGCCATTCTTGCGCAAGACGCCTGCAGTGTAGATGTAGCCTTAGTGTCCTTGGCTTTATTCTATTTCCCTCTCCAACCATTGTAGCTTGGAGCTGCTTGCCTTCCACACCTTGTTCATGTACACCTCATTCATTCAACAGGGCCACATTCAAGTCAAAGCCAAAGGGGAGAGATCTATTCTACTCCCAGTAAAAAGACATTTTCTTTGCCTTAATTTACCTTTACCTTAATTATTCTTGGGGGATATATAACTTTATACTGAAACTGAATACAAAGTTTCTATATAAAAAAGACTTACTATAGCAGTATATATGGAAAGACTTAATACTGTGGTCCCCAACCCGGTGCTCAAGTCAAAGCCAAAGGGGAGAGATCTATTCTACTCCCAGTAAAAAGACATTTTCTTTGCCTTAATTTACCTTTACCTTAATTATTCTTGGGGGATATATAACTTTATACTGAAACTGAATACAAAGTTTCTATATAAAAAAGACTTACTATAGCAGTATATATGGAAAGACTTAATACTGTGGTCCCCAACCCGGTGCCCGCGGGCGCTATAGCGCCCGCCGGGCTCTTTACATGCGCCCGCGGAGCAATCTGGGCTGGCAGGTGCCAGCCCCAGGCGCATGGCCGGTCCCGGCCCCGGATGCACCGGGGCATGTGGCTGGGGGGGGCCGCCCCCGGGCGGGCAAGTGTCCCCGCCCCCTGGCGCCCGGCGGGCGAACGGCCACGCCCCCTGGCGCCCGCCAACCTGAAAAGGTTGGGGACCACTGACTTAATACAAGGTTATATGAAAAGGCTTACTACAAAGGTATATGAAAATGCTTAATACAGAGATTTAGCTACACACTGACACCCTGCCAAGAAAAAAAGGTTAATATTCTCAGTTTATGTATTGTTTTATGCATTCATTATATTTTATCTCCACTTTTGGAAGAGACAGACGTTTGTATTACTACCGTAAATCAATAAACCAATTTTAGTCTTGTTGCAGAAGGCCTATTTCTGACACATTTTCAAACATGAAGCATGCTCAAGTCAGTTTTTTATTTTATTTTATTTTGCCAAAACATATATGTCATCCCATTTAAGTCACTGGGCCTACTCAGATGAGTAAATTTACAAATATGCAGATAATTTAGATAAGGAAAATATTTCATTCATTTTATTATCAAAAGAATGTGGCGCTTCTTTCAACATTGGTAAACCTCATTTTACAAGGAAGAATGCCTTTTTCAAAAGAGCTCTTTTGAAAAAAGGCATGTGTGGACGCGGGGAAAGCAGTTCTTGCGAAAAAAGAGGCCTCCAGGAAAAACCCTGGTGGGCAATCTGTCTACACTAATCACAGTTCTATTATTCCTGTCTGCAGCCATGTCTTAAAGGCACAGGCACCTGAGACAGCCATTGTGGCAGGAAGGCAGATCAGAGTAGGACCCTGATTGCACGATAGGACCTGTAACAGCAAGAAACTGCCATGGGAACGCCACCAACCC